TCGTTCTGGAAAGCATTTGAAGCGTTGTATCCAAATCGAAATGAAGAGGAAGAGCTCCAGTACATGATTGCCGGATAAGACTTTGTTGTTGATTTGCCGGCCTGCTTGGATATCATGAGCCTGTTGTTGATCTAATGCTACGTGTCCAGTCGCTTGACACTCCTGTGTGGAAGTTGAAACTCTGGTGGCCAAGGGTAATAAAGCAAAGCTATCAGAAGTTGCTAGTGGTGATACAGTGCATTTCCCGCGATGAAAGAAAGCTGGAGACACGTTGAAGCCTGGTGGAAAGTAGAAAGGAGTGGAGCTATTGAAAGGCCGGCTTGTCACAAAAGACGAGGAAAAACGAGTCACTGGAGGTCGGTTTACGTGGAAACTGCGAGAAGAAAGCGACATTAAAGCAGATCACAAACGTGTTGCATCTGACCTGATGAATGCACTAGACCGACGAGTGCAATCTGCTGTGTCAGACCATTCCTTGACGGTTCTCCAGGCATTCGATGCGGCTGGTCTGGTGGGCCTACAAGGTGGCGCTTTATTGGTAGATGGCGTCATGAAGTTGGAAATAGAGCACGGCGAGTACGATACCTATGGCGTAAGAGCTTGTGAGGCTGTCCTTACAGTTGCTTCTAACATGGAACATATCCAGAAGTCGGGAATGGATCTGGATCCTCGACTGGCCGTAGAAAATGCAATCAAAGGAGACATTCCGCAACATTTTGAAAGTTTTAAATCGACATTGAGAAGTTCGCATGGCTACAACACTAGAAATGGCTACTTACCTAGACTGCCTAAACCTAAAACGCTCCGACGAAGGGCTAACGCTCGAAACGTCAGCTTTTGTAATCGTTACGGTGGCCAATTTACCATTTCAACTTTGTTGATATATCTTAGTTATTTCTAAGACAAAAGGACATGTTCCGACAAAGAAATGCATTACCTATCCTTTTCAAATGACATGAGATGTGACAGGCCAATTCTGAAAAGCTCGTCTCCCATCTCTTTCGACTTATGAATTATCCCAGACATGTGTTCCAAGACCTATAGAAAGTAAATCACAATATGAAAGATATCTGCATATTACTAATATATTTTATCCTCGTTTTTTTCCTTACTCCCTCAGTAAACCACCTCAATAATTAAAGGGGTGAAAGTTTCTAAAGAAACTGTGGTGCTGCGTCGGTGGGGGTAACAAGGTAATTTGTTTATATCAACTAAGTTGAAATAGGCCACCGTAAAAAGTTAAAAAGCTGATGTGTCGAGCGTTAGCCCTGCGTTAGAGCGAATGGACGATTCGCTCTGACGAAGCGCTGACGCTAGAAACGTCAGCTTTTTAACTCTTTACGGTGGCCAATTTACAATTTCACCTCAATAATTGTCACACAACGGGGGTTCGTTCATTAAGTGCACGAGGTGATTCTGTAAGTTTTTACGCTGCGGATGAAACCCTTGTTTGTAGCCATTCAATTGATGATTAGTAAAGGAAATTCTGTGTTGGAGCCAAGTGGCCCATCTAGCTGGAAGGTTTCCAGGTTTCCTTCGCATGAAGCGACTAGGAGTATCACTTCCCCTCCCTTGATGGGATGCCAGTCCATCGCAAGTACCTTGGCTAAATCCTTCTTTGAAGAGCACATCTGGTTGAGAATGTCCTCATTAACCAACTGTTTCACGAGAGTTTGGACTTTTCCCATTCTTCCAGTAAAAGTATCTGTATGATAATGTAAAAAAATACTACCTTAAAAAACATGTTTAATTCTAAAGCAAATTTTTGGTATTATGCGGAAGAAATACAATATACAGAACAAAAAATATATCAAATAAGTATGTCTGCCTTTGTCCCACCCCCCAGAAAGTAAAAAGACAAAGAGTAAGACTTCGAAGAAAGAATCAAACCAAGTAGGGGAGGGAAGGGATAACTTGTTTCATTTACGTTTAATCCATAAATGAATTTCTTAACAGATCATAATGGAGGTAGCGGGTGAGGGAACGTTAGGTCCATATCTAAAGCTCCTGATGGTATGATCTCCATCATATCATGAGGTAAAAATACAACAGGCGACAAATTACATTGTAATGCTTAACTAATGATAAATCACTAAATCTGTAAAGCATGAGCGGAAAGCCCTTTGAAAACTAAGTGAAGATCTGTTTCTATAATTGGTGTAATCTCCATTACAAAAACACGTTGACGACTGAAAAGCAAAAACCATGAACTATAAGACCCAATAGCTTCATGGGTAACGTTCGTATATTAAATGACTTCTTGATATTTTTTCGGCAAGCTTGGATAGCATCGATCATCCATCACATGTCACTAACAGTATTCATGCATCAACGTCACTATTTGAGCAATTGTGTACCCACCCCTCCCTTGACCCAACGTTACCCTAAGTTGTTAACAATCGACTGTTGTTGGCTTAGGGAAGGGGTGGGTGCGCAGTTGCTCAACTACGGACATTGATCAGTGGTTGTCACACACGCATATCTATAATGCTGTTGGGTCTCATCATTCATGGTCAACGCTTTTTAGTATCAACATTTTTTCGCAATCTAGAGTATCTTAGTTCCTCTACTGAGGATCAATTTGACTCGGTAAACCAGTTAATCAATTTAAGTCCTTTTCAAATACCTGCTGTGAAGAAATTCAGTTGAACACTCCTTACATCCTGATTAGGAAATATACCTCCTGCATTGGTAAAGAAAAGCGGTAACATATACATTAAAATCAAGAAACTATTGATTATAATTACGAAATTGCACCTCCTCAAACCCTCCTGGAAACCATCTCAAATAGCCTCCTGTGAAATGCAGACTACCAAATTTTGAAAGAAATGCCAAAATGCAAATGATTATGAACAGTTTCACACACTAACCTGTGGTTTCTGGAGCAAATACAACGACAATTTCCAACGTGTTCTTCAAGAACGCAAATTTAGCACGCTCTTTATTCCACTCCTCTACGGACCAATCCTGCAAACTGATCAACAGTGGCATAGATGTGTTACATGCTGGACAGAGTTCTAAATGAGTTACGCAATCAAATGACCCCGTGTTTCCGTTTTGTACTACGAAATTTAAATTTATCACCTAACATGCAAAGCCATCCATATTGTAAAGAAAACGTTTACGGAGGGACATATGAAAAGTTTTGAGACCTTTTGTTGAATCCAAAGTCTTGTAAAATGTTACGTAATGATACCCTAACCTCTCCGAAATACTCTCAAGTCTTGCAGACAGCATTTGTGGAGAATAATTTGGGTGAAAATCAAATCACCAATTTAAACCAGAAATTTTTCTAAACGTACCTTACGAGGATATCTAATTTCTGCGACATTTCTCTTGTTGCTTTGTTGCTTCTTGGGTCCTGTTGAGAGTAAAACGATGCCATTCATATAGTTGCAAAAGTAAGTCAAATCGCGCTAGAGCAATTTGTAATCCACCTTCAAAAGGCTTTCCTTTAGTTAGCCCTATATATAGGTCTACAAAACTCGCGCCATCCTCTCAACCAATCAGATAAGAACGACCGTCATCCAATCGCAACCTTTGTCACCCGCATTTCTCCGCGCTTCGTCTTGTTTCCTTGAGTTCTCATTGGCTCTTTCTAATATTTTTCTTAGCTATGATTGGCTGAGGTTAAGTAAGCTCTGTCACACTACAGATCGCCAAATAAAGTTTCAGAGGACAGAAGACAGCTTCTTCGAGTTACAACCAACCTTGCGTTTCACCAAGCGAATAGTTTCCTCCGTCTCAAGTATCTTTCCATCAAGCTGTTCCTTGTTCTTTGCCAGCTCGTGTTTCTCGCTGCAGTGGAGACAAAGTTTGCATAATCAGTATTCAATTGAGTAAGTCATTTTGGTTTCGTGAAGCATGAATCCTCCACTCGGCATTTCAATTTGTCAGGTTTCCCTTAAAAATTTTCTCGTATCTTTCCGAGTAGCCTGGACTCGTCATCATCGCTACGGGAAGCGCCTTTCTCGGCCCGCGGGAAGATTGGAAACGAGTCGGGTTGAGGTTTGCTGGGGTCTGGCACTAATAATCAGCGCTATACCTCTTCGTAGACCTTTTGGGGGCTCACGCTGCTTAAGGCCTCGCTTTTCCTCGCGGGCGAAGAAATACTCGTGTCGATGCGCTAATAATGAAGGCCTGCTCGCCAGCTACTTTCCGAGCTACTCTTTTGGAAAACCATAAGTACCAATAGTAAACTCGCTTTTTTTCGAAGTCGTTGTTGAGCACTAATCCATAACAAGAAAGAAGTGTTACGAGTTCATTATCCTGTTCGACAGCTTTCTCTTTAAGTCGTAAATAACATCTCACCTCTGCAGCCGAGACCTTGTACTTTCCAGATCAGCGAGTGCTGCGATGAAAATCAAAATTATTGGTCGGACGAAACATAAAAAAAAACAAAACAAAACAAAAAAAAACTTAAACTAATCTCGAGATCTTTCGGAACGGTTCTCGAAGACACTCTGCTACTGAATTACATAACTACACAATGACGACTAATTGCGGACAAGATTATTCGACAGAGCCTTACCTTCCGCACAGTTTTCTTTTTTTTTTTTTAAACAGTCTTTTCCTCATTATTGTGAGCGTAAACGTTACCACAAAATTAAAAAATTAATGACCGTCCACTTTCAACACTTCAAAGACCCCACATATATATGTCCCACCTTGTTCTCTCATTCCCAGTGCCTCTGAGATAGTCGCTAATTCCTCAACCATGTTTGCTTGTTCCTGAATTTTCTAATATTAAAGACGAGTAGAAAGTTAAGTGTTCATGCATTATATTAGAGCACCGCAGGCTTTAAAGCAAAAATTAGTTATTACTGGCAATAAATTATTTGGTACCTTTTCATTTTCCGCGAGTGACGAGTGAATGTTCTTCATTTTTTCATCAAAATCCTTGTTTACTGTCAGAACAGAAGATTCAAGGAATTAATCGTTGAAACAATACTATAACTACAAATTTAGGAGTAGCCACTCCACCGGGTGGCTCTTCGTGTCCACTGTTTCCAGGTCAAATTGGCATTTGAAATGTTGTTTTTTTTTTCAGAGGGAGAAAATCTGAAAGACCCGGAGAAAAACACTCACAGCAGGGAGAGAACCCACAACAAACTCAGCCCACGTCTGACGCCAGGTCTGAGCGCTCCAACCATTGCGCTATTTCTGCTCACCGAAACGGAGATAAAGGATGGGAAAAGGCGGTTTTTTTTCCACTTTCGGGCAAATGAAGGTGTGCAAGAGAATGTGTAAAAAAAACAAAAAAAAAAAAGCAAAATATTATGCCTGTTATGCAGGCTCTAGAAAACGAACAGTCACACCTTTTCAGCAAAGTCAGTTGTGCAAGTTTAACACCCATAAAAAGGTATTTTAGAATGGAGATGGGGGCGTAATAAGAAAGTTAATCGACAGATAGTTACAGTTACCATTCTGCCCTTACTTGTGTCGAGAATGCTGAGGCAATCATCCACCATGTCCACGGATTCTTCTACAGTGAGCACGTCTTTTGCAAGAGCCGCGTGATTCTCCTGAAAATATTTAACAAGACCATTCGCAGTTTGTAAGTGGATGAACGGGCAAACACTGAATCCCTCACTTCTTTTATCGATCTCAATCAAAGATATAAATTATGTTGCCAAACAGAAAGGCAACCATGCAGAAAACTCTCGAAGTACAAAGCTATAGACTTTCGGTTTATACTCAATTTCATTAAAGAAAAGAAAAGAAAAGAAGAAGAAAAAAGAAGAAAAAAAAAAAAAAAAAAAAAAAGGTCTAGTTTTGGCTTTACATGTAACCTTTTCACCCTAAGATCAGTATGCATATTCTCCACTGTTCTCCATACTTTCCTTTGGAACTGATGAAGATATTTTTTCCTCTGCTGACCGAGAGCCTGGTGAAAACTAAATTAATTGATTTTATTAACTGTAAGAATAAAAATAACAAAACTAACCGTCAGTTTTGATAGTACTTTTTTGTTCAGCTGGCCTTTACCCTCTTTCCACTCTCGTTTGGAAGTTTTTTCGCACACAGAACGCAGGCGACGAACTTTGCTTTGCAGAGCTAACAACTGGGTAACAAAACGAAACAGTTGAATAGAGCTAGTTTCGCTTGAGTGTCAAAACTTCGAGACTGCTTTTCTTTTCTTTGCTTTTACCTTTATTCTGACTCGCAGTGGCACATTTTATTTTCATGAATCCCTTTTTTCACCTGGTCAAAGGACCTGACTCGTTTTCGAAAGTGACCCTAGATTGCTTTGTTTTTACCCTACTTTTCCCTGTAATTGGCCCAGAAAATTCTCGCCACGCTCTCAGCCAATCAGATGCAAACTTAATCCAATCCCGATTTGGTCGCCCGCGTTTTCCCGCGCTTTGGGCAGTTTGGTTGGTTTTCCTCTGAGTTCTTATTGGCTCTCAGAGGTATTTTCCTCTTCTCTGATTGGCCGTTGGGATCTATGGCAGCTTACCTCCTCCTTACTTGCGGTTTGTACTTCCATAAATATTCTGGGGTTAGACACATTCAACTCCATCTCTTGCTGTTCAACCTTTTCTTTCATACTATCCGCATAACCAAACAAAGAAATTGTCTCAAAAACATATTCTTCTGATCGTACCATTTGTTACACCGTTTATGGTACGCCAGTTTCTGTTATCCAGTTAAAAATGTCCATAAAATCCACAGCCATAAAATACTATACAGTATAATAAATCTACTTGCGTTCCGCCACTAACAATGGTCTCCTTGGCTACGCTACTAGCTGTCAATTCCGTGACAGTGGATTACTATCGGCAAAGACCGTCGCGCGAGTAAAAAAAAATCAGTGACAAAAAAATTGTAGTTAGCACGCCGCGCGGAACTCTGAGAGCGAGGCATACGGATAGTTTATTTCTTGTTACGCAAGCCTACAACCTCATTGTTTACTGTTGTAAACAGTGTCTTAACACTTACGCTTTGATCCCCGATTCCACGGTTGGAATTGCCTCCTCGTAGCAAATAGCCTTTGGTTTTGATACTAGTGTTGATATCATTCTGTCTTTGAGAGTTTGAGGAGCCTCAACCTGGAGGAATAGTGATATCAAAAATGACAACTCAGCTATGATAAGGATTAAACCTTAAACCGTAAGAGTGACCGACACCTAATTTCTCCTTTATAATACGGCTGAGTCAGTCATTAAGATCACGAGAACAGAGGAAATGATCACCCACCTAAGAAGCTTTGATTGTAAAACGAATTCTCCTTGTCAGTACTAAAGGAAATGCATAGAGAGGGGTGTGGAGAATATGGAAACTGATGTTAAGGTGTTAAAGGCCGAAAAGTTTACAGTTTGCCAAACCCTGATAGCATGGCCATTATAATTATTATGGCGATAATTAACTTTTTTTTTCTTAAATCATTTCTAATTTGATTTTGAACGTTTATTTTCAAGCACCGACCTAAAAATCAAATTATTACCCCAATCATTACTCTTATCCCAGTTTCTTTAATCCCTTAACTCCCAGAAGAGATTAACATGTAACTTCTCCCTACAATATCCATACGCTATTCAGCAAACAGCTGATGAGAAGTTATTATCTTGATCTAACATCAAATTCTTGTAACTAATTTACAAGGAAACGGGAAACAACCAGAGGGGAGAATTAACAACCAGATCTTGGGAGTTAAAACAACTTTCATTTGTACCCATTACAACTACATTACACAACATCGTTACAAAACTCACCACAGCAGATGGTGCAACACTTCGACGCATGTTGACCTCTGTGATAAAAGCGATTTCTATAATATCAAGGAACTCCTTCAATGTGATGGCATTTCTGAAAAAAAAAATATTTCAATTAGAGAAATTAAAAAAAAAACTATTTAAGGGAAAAGATATAAATACGTGCACGCCGCCCGTTACCCGAGGATGTAGAATAGGACCTTGAAAGCAACGACTTGAGGAATATTTTGAGTTAATGTCGTTCGAAATTGCTTCCTCAGTTTCCACAAATCAAAGTTCAAATTGTTCCATACGCTCGAGACTTTCTCCCCATCAAGTTCTTATAAAGTGTTACTATGAATACCTTGCTTCTACCCACCGAAAAATGTACAGTGAACGGATGAAATGAGGATCGAGATCTAATAGTGCCAGTAAAGGCCTAAATGGGGCCGACATACCTTTTAAAAAAAAAAAAAAACACGGTGACCTACCTTTGTTATTGTATCTTTCGAAACAAACATTGTTAGGGGAAATCTAAAGAGAGTTTAAAAAAAAAATTGTGCGATGACTTTTTTTTCCCTAAAGAATCACCTGAACCCTTTGCAAACTTACTGTGTAGAATGCTGCGCCGTCTCCTCCTCTAAGACATCAGCGAGTTCCTCTTCAGTCAGTCCCTTTGCACGGAGTTCACTCAGAGAATCTTCACAAATAACCGACAACTTCCTGTCAGGACTGGAATCACTGACACCACAGTCAGCCTTTAATGTCACCTGCTGCGAGGAGAGGGATGATTTTTCATCTATATCCAAGCTGTCATTTGCATCTGTCTCAAGACAGGCTTTTGAACTGGACAAGACTCTGGAAGAATGAGGCGTTTCATTTTTACTTGAATTTAAATCTCTTTCTCTCTCCATCAATGCAATGTCCTCAACTCCTGTGAAAGTTTTTAGAGGACTTTTCACTAGATCCAGTTGCGTTTCAATAACGGAACGTTGTAAACTTTGATCACTTGGGGTGCTTACAGGCTCTGGACATTGGCATCTGATCATATTGATGTCTTGTGGCTTGTACAAGTTTTGTTGGTTTGTCATCTGCTTACTTTCATCAAGAAAGGGCTGGTAAACAGTTTTCCCTGCATTTTCTTCCGATGACTGGGCCATCCTTGGATCATAACAAGAAGTTACGTCCATGTCTTCAGTTTGATAGGGACTTCTTCTGTCAGTTTTTTGTAAAGTACTGTCTGGTAATTGTTTTTGATGGACGAATGATACCTCCAAATCTTCTTCCGTAGCCAGAGCCGTTCCTTGACCATAACAGGATGTGATATCAATGTCAACAGGCTCGTGGAGGCTTCTTCGGTTATGCTTGGGTCCATCCATGTATGGAGCTGACTGACGTTGTAACTCTGTTACCTTCGCAGTTTCTTTACACTTCGTAACCATTCCTGAACTGTGGAAAGATGTTACATGTGCATCAGCAGGTTCATAAAGGCTTCTTTTCTTCTGTTGACGTGTACTGGTGTCCTCCGCCGGCTGACTCTCACAGATCATTCCTGAACCATAGCAAGATGTCATATCTACATCAGCGGGTTCATAGTGGCTTCTTCTTTTGATTCTGTGTAAACTGCTGTCTACAAGAGGCTGATCATGAGTGCCTGTTGCACTGGATACCTGAACCATTCCCTGACCAAAGCAAGATGTTACATCTACGTCATCAGAATCATAGTTGCTTTTTCTTTCGTGTTTCTGCGAACTGTTCTCCACAACATGCTGGTTTTTATAGGCGTCTGCATCCAGTTTTTCACCATATGACTTCAGCTGCCCCACATCATAGCAGGAGGTAATATCTTTGTCTTCAGATTCATAGATGCTTCTTATGTTGGTTTCCAGACAACTTTTGTCTACAACAATATTAAGCAATAGCACATTATCTAATTTTAATTTTTTATGCATTAATTTTATCTTTCTGAATATTTTTAATCTATCCTGCTATTTCTATTATAGAATTTTGTAATTATTTATGTATTTATTTATCAGTTTTTTGTCATGCTGTATAATCTAGTTAGAGGGCCACAGGTTTGTCAGCTATACAGCTGTTACGTGTCCCCCTCTATAAATAAAGTCCTTACTTACTTACTTACTTACTATTATAAGGAGCCAGTGTATTCAAGTTTTTACCTGTTGTCTTCAGCAGCCCAGCTCCAAAGCAGGATGTCACATCTACATCAACAGGTTCGTAAACGCTTCTTCTGCTTCTTTTGCGCGAACTACTGTCTTCAACAGCCTGGACACAAGGAGCCATTGCATCCAGTTTCTCATCTGTTGCCTTCAGCAGCCCAGCTACATAGCAGGACGTTACATCTACATCAGCAGGTTCATCGGGGCTTTTTCGGATATTTTTGCGCAAACTATTGTCTACAACTGGGTGATCACAAGGAGCCATTGCATCCAATTTTCCACCAGTTGTCTTCAGCAGCCCAGCCCCAATGCAGGATGTTACATCTATGTCTGGAGCTTCATAGATGCTTCTCCTGGTATTTTTGCGCAAACCATTGTCCAGAACAGCCAGATTACAAGGAGCCTTTACATCCAATTCTCCATCAGTTGTTTTCAGCAGCCCAGCCCCAAAGCAGGTTGTTACATCTATGTCTGCAGCTTCATAGAGGCTTCTCCTCTTGCTCCTCTGATAACTGCTGCCACCAAAAGACTGGTCATACCCAACAAATTCATCAGAATGTTTTCCAGATGACTTAAGCGGTACTGGACTGTTAAGGGAAGTTGCATAACTGGTAGTTTTAAAAGGGCTTCTTATCTTAGTTTTTTGTGAATTACTATCTAGAACAGCTTGACTGTGACCTTCTTCATCCACATTTCCACCAGATGACTTCAGCAACCCTGAACCATGACAAACGGTGACATCTACATCAGCAGATTCAAAAAGCTGGTTGGTTTTCCCTGTATTTGCATTTAATCTATCACAGTTGTCTTCAGATTGTACAAGCCCTGGGCCATGACATGAAGTGACATCTAAATCTGCAAGTTCAGTAACACTGTCCTGGCTTGGGTTCTGTGCTACATTTTCCAGCACTGGTTGACTGTGGCAAGTAGTGAGCTCCAAATCACATTCCTCTTCATCTGTGTCAGCAGATCGCATCGCTACACCAAGAGATCTCAAGAAAACTGAAGAATTCATTTTACTTGAAGTTGTACTTGGTGAGTTTTGCTCATTTTGAGAGATTGGTGATGACTGAGTCAAAAATGGAGTGGGAGCAGCCTGCTGCTTTTGCATCTGACAAACTGTCAGATCAAGGGAATCAGTGCTATTGGTATTGGAACTAAATACCATTGTTTGATTGGTCCCAGAGATCAACACTGGTGGTCCTGTGTTTGGCAAAATTCCTGTTCCATGGCAGTGTGTCATGTTGAGATGACCAATGCTTCCTGGAAGTTCACTTTCATCTTGATTTATTTCAACATTGGCTCTGTCTACATCAATTGAAGCAAGGGGGGTTTTCGTTGCACCAAGGGACCTCAAAAACACAGTGCTATCAAACGAAAAGTCATTTTTGGAATCCTCCTGTACTTCCCGCACATTTGTTTGATTATCAGCTGATGAAAGACCATTTCTCGAACAGTTTGTTCTATTGAGCTGGGTTTCACTTACATGCAGTGCCTGGTCCTGCAGATTTGTCTCAAAACTGTTTCTGCAGGCATTTAAATCTGTTGTAACTTCTAATCCCAGACCCTTTTGTACACCAACGTCAAGAATGTCTGATGACTTTGTTAGTTCTTGACCATAGCACGATGTAAGATCAAGGTCAGCAGGTTCATAATCACTTCCTCGTGTGGCTCTCTGTGCATTGCTTTCAATAACAGTGAAACTGTGACAAGCTGTGAGCTCTACATTTGCATTTGAATCTGGACTTTGCTGGGATCCTCTCTGACTGTCAAAACCACCCTGCTCATATTTGATCTCACCTAAAGGCTGCCTCATGCTGGAGGTGTTGTCATTGCTTCTTGTTGCTGAAATTGCAAGGTCATGCGTTACTTTGACTCCTTGAGTAGGTGCTTGCTTTGATCCCAGTGACAAGAGGAAAGATGTGCTGTCCATTCTTTCATTTTCCTGCAAACCAGTGGGTGAAGTAAGCTGGTAATTCAAACTATCCTGGTAAAATACTTCTTTTTGTGAGCATGTTATATCAAGATCAACAGCTGCATCATGGCTAAAAATCTTTGTATTCTCCATGTTTGTAGCATTGTTTTGCAAAACTGAACTGTGGCAAATGGTATACTCCATTTCATCTGCTTGTTCATTTGGCTTTAAAACTGACATTTCTGGCATCTCCTAGGGTTTGTTTGGACAACAAATAAGAATTCAGTGTAAGTACATGTACCTTAGACATAAGCATTGAAGCTGACAGTTACACTACAAACATCATTTAAAAACTTTCAGATTGTAAACAAAGTTGGTCTTCAGGTCAAATCTGGTACAAACACAGCCTAGTTTTGTTGCCAAAACTTCCTTAAATACAACTCTCCTTTAAATTCGTCTATCAGATACATTTATACTTGTACATGAATTACAGTCTTTCTCTTTACACAAAACGAAGCTAAAGGTATGAAAACTAGATAGCTGTGAAAAATTTAACTATTCTTTTAGAAGACCAGTTCCACATGTTCAGTGACCACAAATCAGTTCTTCAGATATACACCTAAACTGTAGTAACATTATCATACAAAATAGCAAAAAGGGAAAAGGAAAAATCTAAATTAAAACGGTACAAATATAGAGCATATAGATCAGGGCTCGACACTAATGGTACCCAGCTAGCCACAGACTAGTAGAAATTCAGTTTTGGCTGGTGGTTTTCGATTTCCATTGCCAGTTTGGCTAGTGAACAAACTGAAATTGTTGTAACATCTAAGTTGTCACAAGGCACTTGGCTAGTAAGTTGAAAAGTTGGTGTTGAGCCCTGTAGATTATTTTTTTTTAACTTCTTGGAATAACTTCAAATGTCTTAAATACCCTTCAGAAGTTTGAAAGAATTTTTCAGTGGAAAATTCTGTGAAAATTTGTTTGGCTGACCAGCATATAGAGAGTAGTTTAGTATGCTAATAAATTCTTATTTGGCATATCCTCTTCTTGTTTTTGCTTAAATTTTCTATAACAATATTATTGCAATTAGGTGTATTTGGGATGAGAAATGAGCCTTTTTAATTGCTTGAAGCAATTTGTTTCAAAAAAACTTACCTCAGTGTCAACTTGGCAAACATTTATATCATCCAGAGCTTGAATATTACCCTTTAACAGGGATTCAAGACCTGAAAAGTAGCAGAGGTAGAATTAATGCACACTATAAAATGTTTGATTGTAATGTATTTGCAGTTTGGATTTTATTTCTTTTCCACAAATCCTTTGACCCCAAGAATGAAAAGCATCTAATTTCTCCTTACAACGTCACCCCTGAATGAGAATCACACATTAAGGTCAGGAGAATAAAAGAAACAATCACCAACTAAAGAAGCAGTTACTTGTTAAACAAATTCTCCTTGTCAGCAACTTACGAAATGTATAGAGAACAGTATGGAGAATATGCATACTGATGTTAGGGGTAAAGGGTTAAAACCGAGCTTTTCAGTATAAATATTCACATAGAAAAACTCACCTTCAATGGAATTAGCTGGCTCCCTGTATTCACTGTCAAAAATAGGCAAGAGAGGATAGAGATCAGCCATTGGATAAAGTCAAAACATATGTATATAATTATATAAATTAAGGCATTCCCATAAAATGTTCCATTTCCAAATGCCTAACCCATCCATTTCATTGGAAAAAGGGAAAAAAGCTTCCAGGTACCTGACCTGATGATAAAAATTTTAATATTGAACATAAATCAGGGTTCTACACCAACTTTTCAACTTACTAGCCAAGAGGCTAGTGACAACTTGGATGTTATGACAATTTCAGTTTGTTTACTAGCCAAACTGGTTAGTGGAAATTGAAAACCACTAGCCAAAACTGAATTTCTACTAGTCTGTGGCTAGTTGGCTACTGTTGGTGCCGAGCCCTGTAAATTCACATTCTCAATTTTGATGTACAAGATTTGATAAGACTTAATTTGAACAGAAATCATTGACATTATTTTTTAGCCTTATGCTGGTATTCAAGTTTGGAAGGCAGTTGGCGAGTGAATGTCCATACAGATATGGAACTGGACAGCATTCTTATTTAGCCCCCATTGCAAGCTTTTCAGGTACTCAAGCTGCTCCCTCAACAAGTCCATCTTTACTTTCTTTCTTTCTGAGGCCAACCAACCCTCTTTCACACAGGGAAGGTGATGGGATATAAAATATTCTATGGTAATGCTGGCCAGGAATAAAAGATATGGTAAAAAAATCATGACACTTCTGTGGTTGTGTTGATGTACACAGTGAAAGTTACATAAAACCCAGTCTTAGGTAACTCAGCACAGTCTCTTTCTTTCCCTGCAACTTGAGACTTAACCAATTTCTTTCTGATGCAAAATTAACAAGAGCTTTCTTACCCTTGAGATGCAGATCTCGGCTCAAGAAGATTACCTGCAAAACAGTTTGTTAGGGAATCAATTTACCAACTGCTAGAAACTACCAATAAAAGGATGAATTTCAGTGCAGCTGAACATGCAGCAGGTAAAATCTGTATTTTTTTCATTATTATTTTTAAAAACCTACTATTCTCTTGATCCTTGGGCCAGGAATTCTTCCAATCTTCTACAAAGAATTCTCTACAGAAAGAAAGCACATGTATTGTATCACTTAACAGGATTAGGTGAATTCAACTTTTACCAAGACATGATTTCACATTTGTTACAATGATAAGTAAAACAACCCTTCTAAATCTGACTCAGTCAAGTAAAACTTCTTGTAGACTCAGTCAAGTAAAACTTCTTGTAGAGTTATGTCAATTCCTTCAAAGGACATTTATCATTGACCACGAGTTTTTCCAAAAGTTTCATTCAAAAGTCTCCTTCATCATTTTTTCATTACTCTTGGGGATTCAGGTTAGCCAGCTTCAAATGCATCACCTCAGTTATAGTGTTAAATAACAAAAGGTAACTTACTTGATGTCATTCTTCTCTGCAAAGCTGACTCTCCTTCCAGAGGATCGTCTAGATTTTTTGGATGTGCTTCTTTTACATAAAAAGAAAACAAAACAAAACAAACCAGGATTAACGAATAAGACCAACCAACAATTGCTCAATGTTACAGCCATTTGCTTGGGCAGTTGTTGCCTTGAGAATGATACTGACAGATGTTTTCTTTTGTTCTCAAAGAAATTTGACCCCATTTCTGTGAAACCTACATTTAGCAGTTGCCCCACCAATCTCTATGGGTGATCACTAAATACAGGTTTAACTGCAATTAAAATTCTGTGTCCACATTAAAAAGGAGGAATAGCAGTCACATTTAGGGAATGTGTGTCAAAAGATGGAGATGCTCAATGGCAGCAGACTTTGTATATGAAAGTATTTTAACTTTCTTCTTAAAACCGAAGCCAGCCTGTTTAATCAGAAAATTCTGCCAAGTAGCCAGAAGTTTCACCAATCACCTACACTTAATTAACACCCAGTTCCATGCTTTTTCTTACCTTCCATTATCATCCAATGAATTTGGATCCAAATCTTCTAAGACACCAGCTTTCAATGGAGATTTTGTGGCCTTCAAAATCTATTTATGCATGACATATGAAAAGGTTATGTGTAGGGAAAAATCCTCACAAGATCTTCATTAGAAAAAGATAATTATATAAACTGAAATAAGCAAAGGTTCAATAGCAAAAATGTTTCTTCAAAAGAGGGAGCTCATTTCTTGCCCCTAGACACTTTCTTTAGGAAGCATATTTATGTGAAGTGCACAAATGATTGCTTCTTCTCAGGCAAGTTGTGCTACTCACTATGATTGTTTGAATTTATTGGCAGATGAATTGCCCTCCAGTATATACATCAAGAGCAAGTTTACTGTGTTTTTTTTTTGTGTCTGTTTGTTTTTTTAGGGAGGGGAAGATTGCAATGTTCCTAATGGATTGCAGTATGCATCCTGTAAGCCACTACATGAAAGATCATCTTAACAAAACTAATGTGTCATTAAAGGCAATTGCCAATTCTAAGCCTGCATGGTTCTTTTTCTTTCTTTTTAAGCGCAACGAAAAAACATATCATATTATGTCAGCATGTTGTCTTCCTGAAGTCAATCAAAATGTTATGATACTGACTCACTGTCACCAGAAACCTGGTGAACTAATTATGCAGTCAAATCAGAACAGCTCAGGGCAGGGCGGTATTTTGTAATTTACAATGAGAAACCATGGTAAGATTTCCACACAGCCCCACACTTCATTATGCAGACAGCTCTTGGATAAAGAAAGCAATGGCGTAAACAATAAATTGCCTTTGGAGAACTTTGGAGACGGCTTTGTTTTACAAATTAAAGTAGGGAGTTGATGCTGTATGGAAATCTTACCGAAACCATGTTTAGATCGAATGTTTGCACAAATTAACTTACTCACCGAAGATCGGCGGCTCGAAGATTTTCTTTTACCACCAATGGTGATCCTGCAAACGCAAATTCAAATGTATTTAATTTCCTTTGGATTTTTTCCCTTTAATGAAACTTGTTATGGATTAATAACTAAACTCACCTTTCGTTTGGGCTAGTTGTACGTCTACTATAAATGTAAAATATAATTCGGTTATAGAAATGAAAATATTAGCCAAACCAATACTTTCATTCCAAAATATAACGAACAAGTAACACAGATTTACGTTCTAGCTTCTGTACTGCTTAACAAAGGTAATACGATGCTATATCCGTTAAAAACGGATATAAACCGAAAATAAGGAAACATTGGCAAGGAACTTATGGATTCTAGAAGATACAGTTAAAATCAGGCTAAAATTTACCGATTTTCAGAGTCTTCCCTCGATGTTAAAGCTTCCATCTCGAATTATCAATTTATTGACGGTTGAAAACAAAAACTCAAATTCAGCGCCAATCGCGCCAAGGTGAAGAAGCGACTCGCGCGCATCAACACCTCGCTCTTAACCGCTTTCTAACAAGATCGCGGTTTCTCAACCTATCAATCATGGCGGATGTTTCGTGTGTTTTAATCAAGAGATGTAACTCCGACTGGAGCTGTTGCGGTATCGTTTTAGACAGTGATAACGGCATTTTGTTAACAGTTGCGTCTCTATTTAATGATATTTTGCATCAAAATGAAAGGCAGCGGACAATTTCCGAGGATTCCCCCGTCCTTGCTGGTTCGATGTCGCCGAATTATGACGAAATCGCCGTCGAAGTTATTTTTCGAAGTCACACAGACGAAGAACTTAGAACACTCAAAGGCTACGTGATCTTGTTTTGGAGAGATTACGGACTACATAGAATTGCTGAACGCATTTTTCCGACATCAGAATGGAAATTCGAATCATTTGGTCATGATCTGAAATATCTTCAAGGAGCATCCGATGAAGAACCAGGCAGCGATACTTCCCTGCATCAAACCACCTTATCGGATTTTGCTCTGATCAAAATAAGAGATCCTGAGAATTCCTTCTCATCTTGTAGTTCGGTTAATCTGACAACACTGCGTGGCTTTGAACACCCCAAAATAGGCGATTCTTTGTCTGTTGTTGGCACACCTTTCGGGTGTGAATGCCCCTCAGTTTTCTTCAACAGCGTTTCCAAAGGGATCGTGTCTAACGTCCTTGGTCGTCACAGTGAAATGATCATCACTGATGCCCGTTGTGTTCCAGGCTGTGAAGGATGTGCATTGTACACTTTCAACCACAAGCATGGATTATTGAAGAATGGAGATCTTTATGGAATTGTTCTTGCACCATTTTGTTGGCGGAATGGCGAGTGGGTAGGAATAACATTAGCAAGTTCACTGTGGTATGTTCTACATAATTTGTCTCAACTTTTTAGGAGAAACATATCTTTGATTCCGCACAAGTTAACAGGAATTCTAGCCAATGTGTTAGACATCCAGGCCAAAACACAGACTCAGCTGGAGGTCATTGCAGAAGACAACATGTGTATGTACAAAGGTGAAAGCTCAACTGTTATACATGCAGATCAAGACAGTCTTAGCCATCAGGACATTGTAAAGACAGCTATTTCAAGTGTTGTAATGGTTCAATGTGGTAACAGATGGGGCTCGGGCATTATCATAGACAAAGAGGATGGTCTCATCGTAACCTGTAGTCATGTGGTTAGAAATTGTCAGAACCCCCTTATTGTGTTGGGAAGCAGTAACACTGTACAGTATTTCAAGGGCAAGGACAAAGACGAGCTATCTGGGAACCATGAAAGTAGTATTCATCAGAAAGTACAGGTCCTCTTTGCCACTCAAGAAGATAGCCCTTTAGATTTTGCGTTGTTGAAAATGCGACTAAATCATCAGTTAAGATCTCTTAAATCAAGGCTAGGGAGTAATGTTGTGCAGAGAAAGCTAGCTGAATTCTACACCAAACCTGTTTATTGGAAAGGCGAGGATGTCCTTGTTATTGGTTTTCCACTGTTTGCGAGCCACCTGAATACAGGAGCATCAGTTGTTTCAGGGGTAATATCAAACATTGTGCGTGTTCAGAACCAGACAGTGTTACTTCAGTCAACTGCAGCAGCTCATTGTGGTGCAAGTGGAGGGGCACTGGTGTCCGCTGAGACTGGGGAACTGTTAGGAATGGTAACAAGTCACGTTAAAGATGCAAACATGTCATGCGCCTTCCCTCATGTGAACTTTAGCATCCCAGCTGACTTACTACATAAACTTGTTTCATCAGTAAAGAGGGGAGTGGTTGAAAATACTTTGCAAACTCTAGTCTCAGTTGACATGAAAAATATTTGGCAATTAGAAAAAAATTTTGGGGACAAGCCTCGCATTACTAGCAAACTATGAGAAGCTATTTAACCTTTCTTTCATGGAAGTGCCCCAAAAAGGAAATTCTCTTTACAAAATTTCTACATTCTCAAGAAAAAAGCTTATGAGGATAGGGTAAAATGATCGACATAGGGAAGTTAGATGATTTCTCATTAAATTCTCAAAGCTTGAATAGTAGCAAGTGTATGACAGACAGTGAAGAGAATTGATGCCTTGATCAAGGATTGAAAGGGTTCATCTTTTAAGCTTTTGGTTTCTGTATCATGAAGACAAAGGGTATCAGAAGTAAAGGTAATGATTGTATTCTGTGGGATTGTTATTTATCATATGATCATATGACTTTTCTGGCCATGCTCACTTAATTCCATAGAAAACCACAGTGAAAGCTGACATGTGTAGGGACGGACGGGTCCAGCTAAAGCCGTCCGGCCCCACACTCAGTCAACCTGTATTAAGCGGTCGGTTGTGAAAGTCCCGAAATTTTTTCCCCTAAAGTACTATAATTGTCACTTCTACTAAGCAGTCGTAGCCACCCTGCACTAAATCCCAACGACTTGTTCAAATTGTTTTCCACCTGCATTGAACGGTCACTTAAAGCGGAACCACTCAATAGTCCTTTTTACAGTTGTGGGCTTGGTGGCCAAGCCTTTGAACAGGAGTGAGGCTAAGGGTGACCTTGTTATGAGAGAGATGTTGCTGCCTTTCAAATGCAAATTTCTTTGTTATCATACTAAGTAGATACAGGTCTCTATCTCAACAGGGTCACCCTTAGCCTCACTCCTGTTCAAAGGCTTGGCCACCAAGCCCACAACTGTAAAAGGGACTATTGAAACCAACATATTTCTCTCACGTCAAATTTATTCCATTTTTATCTCCCGATATCGATGACATATATTATCATTGCAGCTTATCTTTCTTTCGAACAGCTTTGTTGTAAAAAAGGAAAAAAAAAACATTGTTTAAGTTGAAACAGAACAGGAACAGGCAACAGAAAGGGGAAAGTACAACACGTTTTTCGATGAATTTCAGCTTTCTCGTTCTGACTCGAAAAAACAAAGGAAAAGTTGCTATGGTAGAATTTTTTTAAGGATGTATTACTTACGCACGTCTATCTCGTCTTGTTTAGGTTGCAGTAAAATTTTCGAAATTTTCCGGCAGCACTTAGTGGTCATATGATAAAATACTTATTGACCGAGTTTGATCTGAAAGGACATAAACGTTGCTTCAAGTTTGCAGGAACAGTTATCCCGGGCTCAAATGACAGTGGGTAAAATGACAGTAGGTGCTTGACAGAAATCTAGAGTAAATCGGGTGACGCTATATCGAAGGCGTACGTCGAGCGTAAGAATAAACAGTAATTTTGGTCAGCGGGAAAATTATGAAACCCGCGAATATTGCGAAATCCCGCGAAAGGATGACATTTCAAAACTGAAGACAATTTTTGACTAAGACACTAGAATGCGTAATGATAGCGACGACTCAGTAAATATATGAGAATAATATATGTGTACCGCGCTTTCGTAAAATGTATGAAAGCGTTCCTCGCAGTAATAAACCCTACCTATCTAGTAGGTGGAAATAAGGCCTGAAAAAATTTTAGGCCCCTATGGGATTTGAACCTATGACCTCTGCGATACCGGTGCAGGACTCAACAAACTGAGCTAACAAGCCAACTGGGAGCAGGTCATTATGTTGGTTCGTATTAAACCCGTTGATGAATTTGAATAAATGAAAATCATATATGTGTACTGCGGTTTCATAAAATATATGAAAGCGTCCCTCGCAGTAATAAACCC